GAAGAGGGCCAGCCGCGCCCAGGTCTGGCGGCGAAGCAACTGCCGGCCGGCTAGCAGCCATCCCTGCCACGCGCTCCGGCGTCCCGCGTGCCAGCCTTCCGGGACACCCACTTCGTCGGGCCGCCCGCCCCCCGGACACGCGCGCGTCAAAGTTCCACGCGGGAGCTTGGGCCGCCCAACACTCCTCTTGCTGGCTCGGTTTTTTGTGAATGAATGGGCTCCCCGGGGGCTCTGATTGGCTAGAGGAGGACCACCCCATAGGCCCCTGTGGCCTGAACGGCCAATCATGGCGTGGCCTGTATGTGCTTTTTAGGCTCTGGAGGAGAGCCCTGCCCTAGCGGTTCCGGGGACCTCAGCCCGCAGGCTCCGAAGGATGGGGTAGGGGTGAAGGTGAGGGGTAGTAGGTGTGGAGGGGGGTGTGCCCCGACAGCTGTTTTTTTTGCCGAGTCATGGTGCAATTCCTCTGAACGGCCTGGGCTCTCTGCATGCCCCGCCTGGCTGTGAGTCGTGGGACAGACCAGGAAGGCAGGTCCAGGAGGAAGAGTTTGTTTCCTGGAAGGGGACCTCAGGAGCACCAGGCCTTGCGTGAACCCACTGCCCGATGCAGGGGGCTGTCAGCCTTTGCTGAGCCTGGTGTTTGGGATACCCTGGCACAACTTCTTTTGAAGTTACCCTTCTGGATTGCGTGGGGTTTGGGGCATCTGTAGAACCCCTGGCGTGTGCGCAGGCAGTCGCAGTGGTGGAAGGAGCTTGCCTTTGGAACAGAAATGTAGACTCGACCAGTTGTTCGTGTTACTGGGTGTCTGCTGCGGAGACGAGAGGCCTGCCTTTCGGGAGACGAGACAGGACTACAGCTCTCACCAGGGCACCCGTGGGGCACAGTCTGAGCTGTACCCCATGTTAGTATTTGCCAGGCAGCCTCAGCCACAGTCCACCTCTGAGACTCAGTGCAGCTCCGTGACTGCAGCACATCTTTGCTGCCTCTGTTTTCTCACCTGACCAAGCTCACAAGACCCCCTACTCCAAGGGTCAGTCTCAGTAATGCAGTCAGAAGTCTTGACAGGAACAAATCTTGACGGACTGTTCACTGCCATGCCGTGTGAGCAGTGCCTGCCTTCAAGGAGCGCCTGGCATCATCAAAGCAGCCCTATTTTGCAGACTAGAATATGGAGGCTATTGAGCTGCTAAGCAGGAAGTGGGATTTTAGACATCTGACTGTAGAGTTCCCAGCCTCGCCTTGACCCTGATCATTTCCCAGTGCTATTTCAAGCTATGAAAATGACTCTTCTCCCAGCGAAATACTTGTCACTGAAAATGAGACAGGGGAAATTAGAAACTGTGTTACCCGGCTGATTTCATACTTTATCTCCCTGGCTCTGCCTAATAGCAGCTTTTTGAAAACGATAGTACCAAGCAGAAGCTCTTCCTGCCACCCCCTGTGGTAGATAAGGATGCTGGCTCAGAAAAGTGGAGTGAATTATCCAAGGTCACACAGCCCGAACAGCAGAGTTGGCCAGGCTAGGTTCTTGTAGCTTAGCTCAGAGGCACCTTGAGCAGCTGGGTGTGGGGGGTGGAGGAATCCAGAAGCTGGAAAGTCAGACTCTCAAAGCTGAGCCAGTGGCCTTTCATTTCCAAACAGGCCTTGAGCCAGTTGGAGAAGTGGAGTGGTTGGGGAATGGGTTGGCCGAGCCAAGTGGGACCCAGGAAGTCCCGATAACCTCCTGTTTGGGTTCTGAGATGGATAGGGTGGAGTCACGTGATGTTGAGGACTGAGAGTGGACAGAGTGAGAGCTTTGCTCATCGTTGTGGTTAGTTGCTTTCTAATTGATTCAGACTCCACAGTGACCCCAGGTATACAGAATAAAACCATCATGTTTTCAAGGCTGGGTGACCTTTCAGATCGATTCACCAGATTGCCTCCCAAAGCATCTCTGGGTGGGTTCAATCTGCCAGCTGTTGGACAAGTACTCCAATGCTTCACCATTTGTGCCAATCAGACGCCTTTGCTGATAGTACCAAGGACAGGTGTGCTGCTCTTAGGCCATTGAGTCAGTTCCAACTCGCAGGGAGCTGATGCACAACAGAAACAAACTGCCCACCCTTCTCCACCCTCAGAGCAGTGGGTCTCACCCTGCCCTGCACCATCCTCAGAGCAGGGTTCTCACCCTGCCCTGCACCATCCTCAGAGCAGTGGGTCTCACCCTGCCCTGCACCATCCTCAGAGCAGTGGGTCTCACCCTGCCCTGCACCATCC